GTCTTGATCTTGACCCAGAATGATACTCGGAGTGCCAGACAGAAGATGCTGAAGGATTTCCCGGTCGCTGCGCTTTCCATTGACCCACATTGTTGTCATCCCGTTTGAGTCCCACGTAGAGCGAGTGGAGTTCCATTCATTTTCACTGTCAGGCAGCCCGACCATAGTTGGCGCCGTCCCTTTATCGTTCAGCCTGTACGCGCCCTCACAGGGCTGTAAAAGGAAGAAGCCGTTCGCTTCAGACGGGACAGCGAGGGAAAACAGTTTGCGCTCAGTCCAGTGAAGAATAAAATCACATGCACAGAGACAAAGCTGTGACGGACTGGTGGTGAGTTTGACATAAGAAGTTTGTGTGAAAGACCTGCAAAGGAACTGGAGGACCTCAGACGTTACAGAAGAGACCCTGTCAGGACTCGTGTGTCTATAATAAGCAGCATTTCTAAAAGATGGTTGTGCAGCCTTCAAAGCAACAAACACGCGTGCCTCCTGTGGAATTTTTTCAGATGTGTCAATCCACATTTTTCAGTTTATCTGTGATGTGTGTGGGGCGGAGTCTGACTTTGGTAACGACGGGACCACGGTAACCACCTTCAGGCGCACGCTGGGCTGCAGCAGAGGGCTGAAGTGTTACCCAGACAAATGCTACTGTTAGACGTTACCCACTACTTCAGAGGGTTAGTTCACCGCCGCCAGGATGTCTGTGCCTGCTGTTTGCCGATCCTCAAATTTAAATGTTTTGCTTCAAACGGGTGATGAGCTTTCCTTGTTGCACTGTCAATGTTCAGCATTTGAAGTACATCATTATGTCCTTTTTGTGTTTGTTTCTTTATTGATTCTAATAAAAAGAAATACATTGTAGCTAAAAATCTAAAGTGGTAACTGTAGCTTGTAAAGTGAGGAGAACCTGTTACATCATAGCGTCCATTCTTACTCTCATTTATTTTGTGCAGCACTAAAAGTACAAAGTCAGAACTTGTGTCCTCGTTACCTTCGGTCACCGGCTCGCTCACCTTGGTGCTGAGCATAAGCTGTGCAGAGTGAGGTCAACAGCAGCTCCTCCATCGTCTCCTGCTGTTGGACGATCGGACACGATTTGCTTTTGTTGGAGAAGATTTGGAGACTAAAAAAGTCTGAACTGATTCTGAGCAGTTACAACAAGTCAAATGACTCCGTTCACCAAGAGATCCCCTGATGTGGACCAGAGCTGCACACGTGTTTGTGGATGTGTGGTTAGCTGTTTGTGTGTACTTGTGTTACTGTCATAGTGACACGTTGTGGCTGCTCGACCTGCTTTGGGATCAAAAGTCATGGCTGCACAACAATCAGTCTTTCCAGGTAAGACCGATGCTGTGCTCGTCCCCACGTCGCAGTTATCCCCAAACTTTTTGTTCCATCAGTCACGATGAGAGGAAAACTACGGGTATGAGTCATATTTGAGGTGACAGTGATCGACGTAAAGACTCTTATTTATTTACTTGTCCGTAACCTCTCTGCCTCTCCTGATTGGCTCCTGACTGTTTGGCACGCCCTCTTTTCACCTGCACAAGTAAGGTGAGTTTATTTTGATCGTCTCCAGAGTTCATACGACCTCTTTCTTTTTAAACGGACGACTTCAAATCTGACCTTGTGTTCTCTTTCAGAGCTGAGCTGTCCATGTGTGTCTGTGTTAAGTACACAACGAGCTGAGGTCAAACACAACACTGGAGAATCATTGATGGCTGTGTGATGATAACAAACCTTTGAACAGTGGTAACTGAGTGTTAGCCTGCTGCTGTTGATAAAGCTACGCTTGTTTCATAAGCTAATCATATGTTAGCCTGCTAGTATCACCAAGCTAAGACGTCAACCAGCTGAACTTTACTGAAACAACAAGCAGCACCAGCTGGCAGCTCATGAAAGATATTATGGTCAAATATGGATCACCTTACTCTGTGGAAGGAAATGAGTCTGTTGTGTTTGAACTTGAGTCACAGACCACGACTCGATTACATTTAGACGATATTCATACACTGAGATATTATATTAAGCCCACTGAGTTGTGTTTAATAAATAAACCTCAAACAGGAATTATGAACATTGTCTGAATAGAAAGACCATTTGTTATTACTGTTTTATTTAAATAACACATTTAAAACAGAAGCTGACCCAAAGTGCTGGAGCCGCTGAGACCCAGCCTGTTCATTTATGTCCTCTGTAATGGACTTTTTGGTCGATATGTTTTGAGTTATTCGAGCTACCCTACCAAGTCCTGATGTACTAAACAGAGGCAGGAAAACGTTCAGCTGACAGAGGTTCAAAACAGCCACATTTATAAATGTGGGTTTCCAGAACACCCAGTTTCTAAATGCACTGCTCAAAAAAATGAAAGGAACACGTTGACACTACATCAGATCTCAATGTCTGTATCATGCTGATGCAGACTGGCTGTGACTGATGGAAATGTTGAGCCTACAGAGAGAATTCAAAGACATCCTGAAAAGAAAAGTAAAAAGCTGACGACGTGGACTATTTTGCTGAAATATCCTTGGGCCCGCTGTTTAGCTAAATGCAAAACTGGTGATTATTTATTTCTATGTCAGAAAAGACGAGGGGGAAACGTGTCAGGCCTCCACCTGTTACACCCTTACAGGTGATGCCTCTGCTGAGCAGATCAAGTTTAACTGCCTTGATGCTGCTCTGATTCAAAAATGCTGCTTTTTTGTTTTGCAGTAGTTTGCATGTTTTATTGTGTTGACTAATCATTATGGAAAGTTCAACTCAGTGTTCAGGATGTGCACATTCATGATGATTCAGCTCAGGAATCACAACACGCTCCTCTTCCCTGCATGGTGCAGCAGGCTGCTGATGTTCTATCAGTCTGGTGTTGAGAGCACCATCGTCTTTGCTGTGGCGTGCTGGCGTGCAGGCATCAAAGGACACAGACTGAACAAACTCATCAGGAAGGTCGAGTCTGCTGTTGGCGTGAAGCTCTCCACCCTGGAGGAGGTGATCAGTGACAGACTGCTGGCTGCTGGTAATCATGGACAATGACTCCCACCCCTCCATAACACCAATCTGAAGAGCAGTTTCAGCAACAGGTTCCTTCGGCCTGGCTGTCTGAGGGAGCGCTACAGGAAGTCGTTCCTTCTGCTGCTGTCAGACTCTTCAATTCACCCACTGGGGTCAGATCGCCCACTGTCACTACACCACGACACACATACTATTCTTTTTATATTAAACCTATATCTCTACACTTATTTATCCACATATCTGTTTCTACACTGGTTTTCTGAGTGCTTGATGTTGTGTATTTGCTGCTATGGCCGCTGTGAGTCTGCTGAGCTGTGTTTAAAGCGTCGGTAACACCGGCTTCAACAGTTTAACAGTAACTCGCACAACACTTCTCTAAGTTTACTGTCATGTGACAAACTGATCACGTGCCAAAAAGCTTTAAGCAAACAACACTCTCCGATTGGCTGACAGTCAACGGAGGCCGCAGCGCTTTCTCTGATTGGCCAGCAGGCTTTAGGTAAAGCAACGCTTCCGGGTTCTCCGCAAATGGACAAATAAACTCGTTTTTAAACTTATGCAACGGTGGGAAAGTGTCTCCCGTGGACAGGGCTCAAAATGTCCGGCGGAAGCGGCTGCTGCTTGGCTCTGTTGCTCGTCTGGAGCCTGTGTGTGAGCGCACGCTGCAGGTTTCCTTCTCTGGACCACATCAGACCGAGAGCCAGCGACCGAGCGCAGGGCAGAGCGGTGACCGAGCTGCTGCGGCGGCTGCTGGGGAACAGATCGGCCGAGTTCATCGTGTCGGTCAACGGGAGCCTCTCCAACGACAGCCTGGACGTGTGCGAGCTCAGGTCCACCAAAAACAACAAGGTCGTCGCCACAGGCAGCACCGGGGTGGCCGTGGCCTCCGGGATTTATAATTATTTGAAGTATTTTTGCAACTGCCACGTTTCCTGGTCCGGGAATCAGCTGGATCTGCCCAGACCTTTGCCAAAGCTCACCGGCGTCCTGCGCATCAGCACCCCGCACAGGTCAGTGACCCGCACCGTCCTCACAAAGGCTGGTGTCAAAGCCCTCTGTGGCTGTCTCGCCTGGTTAGTGTGTCCAAACGGCTCACGTTTCATTTTCATGTCAGAGACAACAAACTGACACTTCCTGATCTCACACACAGCAAACAACAGGAGGAAAGTGTGTGTGTGTGCTTTCCCCACGCAGACATCCGATCAGCTGCGTTTAGACCCCCCAGAAGTGGGGGCAACATCTGCTACATGAATTGAATCTTTATTTTGAACGTGGTACAAAAAAAATACAACCACATAGAAAAAAAGACAAACAAACAAAACAAAGAAACCACAACTAAAAAAATTTAAAAAGAAAAGAATTAAAAGAATTCTTATTTTAAAGCTGAAATGTTTTGTGTGTGTTTTGTGAGTATAGTGAGAGTATATATGTCTGTCATTCACAGGTCATTGGCTACGTGACTTAAATATTTTTAGTTTTCCCAAAATAATGGCCCGGTCCCTACAGAGGGTGACAGGCCGCTGCACTCATAGTGTCGCAGCTCCATTAACATGTAACAGGAAGCTAAACAAATCTCAGTCTGTCAGTTCTTTATTTGTTGTTGACACAGCCATTGTCCACTTTTTACTT